AGTGCGCTAGCTAGCTCAAGTAGAAAGAATCCATCGGACATGCCATGCCCCTACAAGAAGAATCTGTTAAGTGCACACTTGAACTGAAAGACCCATGACAATAATGTCTTCTGGAAGACAGATTACAGCTTGCTTGACAAGCGTAATTATATTAAGTACATGCAATCATAATATTGTATATTGTATTTGTTCGTCTTGCAGTACAGGCCGGACAGTGGAGATCGATGTTTTCTTTCGTTCACGACATCAAGAATCTGATCCAAATAACAAAGAGAGCAAGTACGTAGTAATTAAGTTGAGGCTATCCATTTTTAAAGATCACATATCCCAGACTGCGAAAGTGAAACTGACAATTTGATGATTGTGGGTTGTTATTTATTTGGTAAAATAATACTCGATTGTTGCAGCTACCCTCCAATCTTTGGCAGGAAGGGGTTGCCATTTAGGTATGAGTTGAGCGTCTTTAATTTGAATTGAAGGACAGGTTATCGTTTTTTGAACTTACTCTTGCACGCTAACTAGTACTAATTAAGAGTACTTGCCTTTTTTTTCATCGCATATATAACTAATAGTTTCAAGAATAGTTTTGTGAGTTAATTATCCTACGTTTAAGTATTAACATGTCAATTGGTAATTAGTAATGACTAAAATTAATTACCACATAACTAACCACCGTACAAAAAGAATATTATCATATTAGAAATATTCTTTACAGAATACATTTCATGGTGAAAAACCAATTTTCATGGAAAATATTTTTTTTTAAATAATCATAGTTTTGATTACTTGCTCACACATAGAGTGTGTTTTAAAACTAGTTTTTTTTTGGGCATGTTTCAAAACTAGTTGTTAAAGAAATTTTGCAATTTCATTAAGGTACTATATTGTTGGTTTAAATTGCTATATTTTTACAAATGATATGGTGCCTTAACCAAATTGTATAATTTCTACGTTATTTAGTTGGCAAAGCGTTTCACCTGTAATCAGCGGATCATGAGTTCAAATCATTACGGGGATGAACGGGAACTATTATTGATTCTTTTTAATAAAAAAGTGATAAAAAAAAAATCTCCGCATTGCCCAACCACACAAAATATCGTTTTGATTGCGACCCTTTGTTAAGCAGATTAAACAAAAAAAAAAAAAAAGAATTGGTGGGATCCGTACCCTATATTTGTTAAACTATTACTAACAAACATTATTTATGTTATTCTAGACTTAGCTTATAAGTGTACCAAAAATGATGTGTCCGAATGCTTTCCTCATGCACGAATTGGTTGAGGAATAAAGGTAATGCTCTAAAATATTTTCTCCTTCACTTTCCATGCGCCAAATTTGGTTCCTCACTTTGGATTGCCTTTTTCTTTTTTCCTCAAATAATATGTTTCAGATATGAGAGCAAGATCTGTGGTGAAAGGAATAATTCTTGTTAGATGTTCTCCTAAATTTTTATTAAGAAGCTAAAAAAGAACTGCCAGAAAAAAAAAAAAAAATTGAACATTCACTACTGCGTTATCTCTTGGCACCATTCTTGTTCTTCTTTCCCACTAGCTTGGAAGGTTGGCGAGTTTAATGCTCTACTGAAACTATCTAATTGCAGTCGGGCATTCAAGGAACATGCACATAAGAAGAGTCTCTTTGCATAAGAACTATGCATGCGAACATTAATTCTTCATCTTTCTAGATCAGATCCATTCTGTCCCAAAGAACCCAAAAAATAAAAAAAAAAAAAGGAATGAGTGGACGTATAAATTGACTGAAGGAGTAATTGAGAATTTGAATATGTTAATCAGCCAAAAGATGGAAAAACAAGATAATGCTTGAATTTGATACCGTGAATTGGCTCCAAACAACTCCTTCCTCAGCCTTACTTGAATGGAGTGGTTTGGAGAGAAAATTGAGGTATCTTTCACTTGGGAGGTTCAAATGGAGAGAAAAAAAAAACTAAATGAGGTCAAATGATGAGAAGATTAATTAGCCCATGAACTCTTCTCTCCAAATATGGAGAAAAACCCGAAATTGTTCGTACATATTTATAGACGTCTATTTGGTCGAATTACCATCTTCAAATAAGAAGAAGACATGTACGAACTATGTACAAAAAAATTTTCTCGTATTTTGTTTATTTAAAATTTTCAAAAATATTCAAGGAACGCCTTAAAAATACTTATTTCTCTCATTCTGACAAAACAACATATGCCACGTCATTATTGACTGTGGCCCGTCATATCATGTCCTAGACATTACCCCAATAGCCAATCATTGATTTTCCAAAATATCTTCCAAAATAGCAGGCAGTGTTTACAGAAATTTGTGTTAATACCTATTGGGAATGGCATGGCATTAACTAATTCGTACCGTTTTTTTTTTTAAATCTTTTTTTAGAGCTTATTTGCATATGATCTGGATTCCGGTGAGAGGTTGGGGCTTAACAAGTATTATGCAAATGAATGTTTTTAAAATGAGTATGGCCCAAAGGCACAAGCAAATGATTTTTTTTTTTTTTCAGTCCAAGAGGACACTCTAAGTCCTTAAAAGTGAGAAGAGAGAGAGGGAGAGTTTAAAAATTAAATCAGAGATTTCATAATCACTTGACTAATATTCTTACTAGCAAAGTTGGTAGTTTTTAAATTGGAGAAAGAACTTTTAAATTTTTTTGCCCAAAATTTTATATCGGTTATAACCAAGTTAGCACCAACTAGCTAAATTGGTATTTCTTACTAACCAAGTTGGTTTAAAAAAAAAAAAACTAGTGGGAAGTCCCGTACAAACTACAAAGCGTAGGCATTGATACCTGTAGCGTGGTTAAATAACTTGGTATCACATAATTTGCATCACATAATAACCAGAGGTTGTTGGCATGGTCCCCTACTTTCCTTTTCAATGTCTAGTACAAATAGAAGCTAATGGTGTTATTATATGTATCATTTTTCCCTACATTTAATCTTTCAAACAAAGTTGGATTATTCAATCAGGACCATTGTTTTGGTCAGTTGTTTCAACAGAACGAATTTGTATTTTTTATCCTTTATCTTTATTTTTCGTTGTTTCTATCATACTTTATCTTTTCCTTTCGCTGATAATAATGCATATCTTTTTCTTGCCTTTTGATTTCGAAATTGCTTCTTAGCATTAAGTTTATCGATATTGTTTGTTTGATCTATCCTAAATTTCAACCCACAGGCCTTAAATTTAAACATAGAAAATCTAGATATAACATTTGTTTGCTTAACTACCACAACTAAAAACCATTATTTTGATCAATACATTCATCTACAATTTAAAGGGGAAATCAATTTTCCTCGTTACAAACACTAACTTGTATCAAACAATTATCAAGTCTACGAAATTCAATACGAAAATAACATATGGCAATTTCTATCCACACACAACATCTCAGTCACTTAACTATTGAACCAATAAATTGCATCAACTGCAATGTAATTTTCAAAGTGGAACAATCATTCACACACAATTCAAGTGAATCAAGTACAATTGTAATCACATTTAATCAACAAATGACATGCATCAAGTAGGAATATAGAGTTATCATGTACCTTAGCAACAAAATGCAGTCTAAGAGCGAGATCTCTCCATACTTCACCTACCTACAATAGCAAGCACAAAGGTTTATTCATGATTTTGATTGTCGAATAAAGCTATACATCCCATAGACTAGAAAGCAAGAGCAAAATTGAGCATATCTCTACAAACCGAACTCTGATACTGTGCAATGGAGCCATTTGAATCCATAATTTTGTATCTTATTAACAACCATTATTGTAACCTACTTTACAAATTGATGAGCAAATGTTGAAGAAGATGGGAGGTCAAGTTCACCCTAAATGATTCTTCCCCTCTCACACTTTAATGGCCTCATCAATGTGCTTCAGTTACTGATTCAAATAAGTGCCATTTGTTGCAAGAGCTGAATTAATGGTTCTTGAGCTTTAAGAATGAAGAAGACGTCACAATTCAAACATTCATCTTTAGCTTGAGCGCACTAATATTGTCTTAAATGCATTTAATTTGCGTAATCAATTTAGCTGAACATACTTGAGAGGAGTTGATTTCATTTTCTACCAAAGGGGAAAGTAGGTAAACCGTGTGAAATTAGGTAGCAGAAACTTGTGCACTTTGCTTAATTAATGTCGTTACTATTTTACCATTTCCAAAACGCCTCCTACAAACGTCAAATAAAAACCACCCAAGAGTCATACAATAACTTCTTTATATATATATAAAAGAAATTGGAGAAAAAAAAATTTTTTGCGAGAGATTTTATGTCGGGGAGGACCAACTACTTCATGCCTAATAATTGAGTCAAAATCAATGAGAGAATATGTAAATACCGACTTGGTTCCCATTCACGTCCTACCTAAATAATTATGGAACCAAGTGAGATCCATTGACATACATATAGAATGAAGGGGAATCTTTGCATGTCTATAGGAAATTCTCTAATTTTTTTTTTTAACTGACGGAGAGGGTATCCGGGTCACCGGGTAGACCGGACCTGACTAATCCCCCACCGGCCCGGGAGGAGAGGCCCCATCCCCCCGAACACGATAACCACAGGACTCGAACCCTAGCGGGCATTGGATAACAGCTCTTAAGGAGGCTTGCTGTGACTAATCGAGCTGCCCATGAGAGATAGAAAATTCTCTAATTGAGATTGGAGCAAATAGTACTAGACAATGACAAGTAATTAGTCATGACTAACATAAAATTTTTCATATCCTCTCGCAATACTCTTTGCTTCTTGGTGGGCATAATATACATTATGCACTAAAAAAGAAGCCCAAATCCAGCAGCTAATTCCCCAACGTGTCGATGATCTATACGTGGGACAATTTCATTAAAATTCTAAATTCATTTCAACTACTGTTTGAACCTCCGTCCAATCAGACAACACTTTGAGACTCCGAGGTAGCGATTCTAGCAACTCGCTCTGAGTATGTGGTGTGCCTACTCTCCTGTCTCCCGATCCATGTGTCAATCCAGCACAGATCCAACTACCTCGAATATACCAGATTTGGTTGGTCAACGCCGCAAGTCTCCCAAGTGTTTGCCCAAAGCGGCCGAGTGGAGAGGCATCTCATACTCCCGCGAGTGCGACTCGGTGTTAAGGTTAAAAAATTCCTGCAATGGCTATCAGTATTGGCTTGTGGCTTGGATGGAGCCTGATTTCGAGGTACGGTTTTTACCCTAATATTTTCTCCTTTCCATCTAAGGCTACAAATTGCTTCCAAAATAGTTCCTCCAAAAAGGAGTCCTTTTTTGCTCTTTCTCTCAAGTAGTAAGTAAGCCCCTTCTATCAGCACCCTTTTATTCCTTTCATGTCCTCTTTTTTTTTTTTTTTCCCCTTTTTCATTTTTGTCGACTGCTAAAATTGTGCCATTGTTCGATCTTTACCGTGCTGCAAGCTTTCTATTTTTGTTTTTCATTATTACTAATTATTTATCTTTGAAAGTAACTCATTTCGTCAAATCATTTGGAAAGCAGACTGGCAAGGAAAGTTTTACTAGAAATTTAACACCGTAGAAAAGAAGATCAGATGGGGAGAGGAAAGATTGTGATCCGTAGGATCGACAATTCCACAAGTAGGCAAGTCACCTTTTCAAAGAGAAGAAATGGTTTGTTGAAGAAGGCCAAGGAGCTAGCAATTCTTTGTGATGCTGAAGTTGGAGTTATTATCTTCTCTGGCACTGGAAAGCTCTATGATTATGCCAGCACTAGGTTAGTTTGACATATAACCATTGCTCCCATCCTTTGTTGATTTCGCATCTTCTCCTATCATTTTCTCCTCTTTACCATTATCAAGTAAATTTGAAATTATTACAAGTGTCTAGTCATTGAATTTTTTTTCCCCCTTCAGCCGGTTTAATTTAGAAATGGATCTATTTAAGTTTTTATTTAAGATCACCAGAAAATAAAGGTGGGCCTAAAAGATTTTTTTCTTCATCAGAATAGCTGCCTCTGAGTCCTCCTCATCTCCTCATCTCTTGGTGTCTATGCTGTAAGGGAAGTAAAATTTGTCATCTGAAGTACTAAATTGTTAAAAGATGCAAGTCATCGAATTGTGACTAGGTTTGGGAAGATTTTGGGTTTTAAAGAATTCAATGAAATGTATACTAAATGAAAGGTCATGTAGCATGAGAATTCCTTTTTTTTTTTTTTTTTCTATAAATTCCTATCTTTATTGATGTTCATGCATGTACACTCAAGTGAGGGATGAGAATTCATTTTTTCTTATTCTTAACGTGTCATTTTTGTTGGTCAAGTGTTTGAAAAAAGGTATGGCCATGTTTACAGCCAAATAGTTAATGCTTTGTCAATGCCTTTTCATCTCCTGAGGTTGAAATTGTAGACCCAGGAAAAAAGTTTCTGAAACTCCTTCTATTATCGCTTCTGTTTAATTGAAAGCATTGCTTCAGTGCCATAGATGGTAGGGAGTCGAGATCCCTCTTAATTTCTGCTTCCGATGCTCATCTCCACTATGAAGCCCCTTATCAAGCCTTATTTTTCAAATTATCCTCACACTTGTAGTAATTCACGTGAGTTCATTTAAATCAATTCTTACAACACAAATTGTTCACTATTATTTCGATAGCTTAACTGATTAATTTTCCAGTTTTCATGCTCCAAATTAGCTTGAAACTAAGTATTTATTACCTAGCAGCCATCCTCAATCTTAACAGAGTACTTATGATAAGAATGGGTGAGGGGCAAAAATCAAGGGAAAAAGTAAGAAGGAAAACAGGGCTCCCATTTTAATGACCTGGATCGGACAAATGCTTATCTTTGATAGAAACATGCATGCTTAGAGCCCGAGGGTTTTGTCTGATAATTCCAACCCCTCAAGAATTCAACACTTTCCCGGTTCATGCATGGAACTAAACGGGGAACAAACTAGAAGTTATAGTGATAGACTAATGTTTATTTCTTTGTTTTTTTTTTCTCCTTGTTTGGTAAACTAGATTAGAGTCTTAAAAAAAAAAGGGGAAAAGATTAGAGTCTGAGACGCTAAAATAAGTATTGGAAGAAAAAACTATAAAAAATTCCACATTTTAATTGCCAAATTGGGCTTCTGTATCAGCTCAATTCGTTAGATTTTCTTTTTTTTTTCCCCCCAATATCCCTCTTTGTTTATGGAACATCTCTATAATTTTTTTCCCTGGTTTTCCTTCATCATCAGCAGCATGAAATCTATAATCGAAAGATACAACAGAATGAAAGAGGAGCACCACAGACTGTTGAATCCTGCTTCTGAGATCAAGGTAACTTTTACCAAACATTCTTCCTTTATGATTAATTCGATAAGTGCATAAATAGTGAAGGTATGAACATAGTATACATTATGCTTAGTTGTTGTAGGCCAATAAACTAATTTGGAAGTCATTAGCTAACAAAGCTATAGCATTTTAGTCTCTAAGTTCTGTGCTTATTGTGATTTATTTGAAGCAGCTGATTGTTCTTTGATAGAATTAATATTAAGGATCTGTTAAAGGACTTGACACTCATTAAAATATACTTCAGATGTTTAATTTTTTAAAATTAAAGTTAATTAGAAAAAATATATAAATACATGAAAGAATAATAATTAGGGTTAATTCCACTTTGTCCCCCCAAACTTTGGACGATTATCCACTTAAGTCCCTAAACTTCAAAATGGGACACTTAAGTCCCTAAACTTATAAATACCTCCCACTTAAGTCCCAGAACTTATAAAATGGGACACTTAAAACCCTAAACCCTTATAAAATGGGACACTTTGACCACCCATGGCATTCAGGATTTGTTAACAATTTTTCTTAAGTGGGAGGTATTTATAAGTTTAGGAACTTAAGTGTCCCATTTTGAAGTTTAGGGACTTAAGTGGATAATCGTCCAAAGTTTGGGGGGACAAAGTGGAATTAACCCTAATAATTATGACTAGTATATACATTCACATGGTAGTTAAGTGTGATTTAAATGTACTAGTGAGTGTCTATTTAGAAAAATCCTAATATTAAAATAGTAGCATTTGTTGCCTAATTAATGTTAAAGAGATTTTGTACAAAATAGGCCATCTTCAACTGAAAATGGGAATCTTTTACATTTTTCCGGGTTGTTAACTATTCGTTAATTAACTTAATTTCCATAGATCCATGATTAAAGCTATAAGTGATTTCCAACAATATATCCAGAAATAACTTTTTGTGAAGCAACTTAAAAAAAGTCAATAGCAAAGAGAAGATCCTCTAATCAAAAGTACTATATAACATATCGTGATATTGGTTAGTTGGCCACATAACCACTAAAATATTTCAGTTATGTAGTTTTTCAGGAAATAACAGTGTAGACAATTTTGCTGCTTATTACAAGCTTTAAGTGTATATTTACCATGGCTAACAAGATATGGTAAATATTACACATGCACATACTATACGAATTTTTTAATCAAATGACAAAGGCAGATATGAGTTCAGCAAATTACGTGTAGAGCATCGTAGGAAATAAAAAAAATCTGTATGAAAGCCACAAAACTTTAGGTTCATTTACGATGATTCCTAAATGTTACGCTATATCAATATTACTTTTGACTTATATTCTTGTGCATGAGGTATTATATTAATTCAAATTGGTGATATTGGATGCATATATATGGCAAAAGTGCAATATAAACATTTGTTAGTTTTGGGAAACTCTTAAATCACATTTTTATCTCTATAGAAATTGTGTAATTTTGTCATATATTGATGTATTATTTGTGAACTATTATAAAGGAAAAGTTTATTATGTGTTTATATTTTATAATTTTGTTAAAATGTACGAGTACTCTTCAATATTTGAAAAGTTTATGAGAATTTTTTAAGATTGTGGTTAATAAGTATATTTACTAAATAAGACTAAGGCCTTATTTGATAATTCAATTCAGCACTTAAATTTAATAGATTTAGATGTTAATATGTTTACATAGGTTTGATAACGAAAAATTGAATATCTAAATGAATCAAATGTCACTGAATTCGTAGGTAAAACTTACTCTCAAAAAATGAGCAATAAGTTATTCATTTATCACTTTATGTGATATACACTCAAAATGTATCAGTTTTGGAACTTAACAATTCAATAATTTAATAGATTTACACTTCGAATTTCGATTTTCAGATTTCAATTTTATCAAACGCACAATTAAGTTATGAGACAATGTATTCCTTCGACACCTTCATAAGATTCATCCCTTTCCCAAGTGACTTTATAACCTCATCTCAACTGGCATGCATTTCTCTATCATATTGCTTAGCCTGGGGTAGCATGCATCTTGCAAAAGTCAGATGCAAGTGTTTACGATATCAAATATAGAGGACAAACGAGCATTTGTTTGTAGTTCACCACGTAATGAGATCATCGGACATTTGGATACTGTCCTGGGGAATTGGATCTTTGACCATTCGGGGTTTGCCCATCAATGAATTAAGGCATGCAAGATTCAGTTCTTGATGCTAATTAGTACGTTTTAAGCTCGGTTTCCACACAGAGGATTAGTTCTTTCTAGGAATATCTAGTTGATACCTGAGGCTCAAGTGTAGGACGAACCTAAAGGCGTTCCTCTTGAAGTGTTTACATGGAGCAAATAGGCCGATAGCGTGGGGCACTCCTTCGCTATTGAAGACCTGAATCTGGGAGGCAGGCACCTCTAAGGAGTTAGCTCCATTTGGATGGGGGAGGTCAATAAGTAAATGGGGTCGTCGAAGCTAGCGACCACCATGACTTTATATACCTAACAGAAATGAGTAGCTTCATCAGTCTTATAGTGACTTTTACTGACAAGTGAACGACACAGAACTGCCAGTGTCCAAGCAGTTCAATTGACACAGACAACAATCTAATATTCTTAGCTTTTTATCTTTACAAGAAGCCAAGAATGAAAATTCCATGTCCTGTAAAGCCCTAAGAAGAAGACCATGCAAGCCCTTAGTTATAACTAGAGGTGGCAAATCAACCCACTTAACTAAATTTACCCATACCCGCCCATGAATAGATGGGTATGTGTATCTTAAATTTTTGTATATGGGTATAAATGGGTTACCCAATAATACCTATTTATTAAATGGGTATTATTGGGTAACCAATCAAACCCAATTAACCCATTTAGAATTCTCTTCCCCCGAGTCTCTTCTTTTCCCCCACCTTTTTTTTTTCAAATTTTTCATTTTGTCATGATGTTAACTACTTTTGTTTCATTATTATTATTATTATTATTTGTTGGTTTTATCTTATTATTTTATTTTCTCTTAGTTTGTTAACTTGCTCATTTTTCAGCATTACTAATTTATGATAAATTTTAGCCTATTTTCTTATCTTTATAAAATGAAATTTTAAATTTATATATGAAAAAAATGTTAGGGGTTCAAAATTTTTGGATTAAGTTTTTATATTAATTTTTATAGTACTTAGTTCAAATTTTTATATCTTATTATTCAATTATTAAATAATAGGTAATTTTGTGACATAGAGTATAAATGAAAAAAAATTGGTAATTAAGTTTATTGAACATTATAAGTAAATATTTAAAACTAATGATGGGTACAAAGAGTGGTATAAATTGATAACTTAGTTTGCAAAAATGAATTTAAATGAGTTTACAAAAAGTTAAAATAAATGGGTTATAAATGGGTAATTGGGTTACCCAATTCATTTTTTGACTTATCCATTTATACCCTCTAATTAAATGGGTATAAATGAGTTGACTCACTTATACCCATTACCCATTTTACCCAATCCAAACCCGCCCAAGTCACTCATTTTAACACCTCTAGTTATAACCCATAGATTCTGAGTGTTGTTCACAGGACCTAACGTAGAAACACTCTCTCTATGCTAACCGCATTTATGGCATAGAGCAGTAAGTAAAGACGATGGAATATTTGGCTCATCAAGCATGTGATTCTCCAATAGGCTTGGCGAAGTTTGCATGCGGTGAAGCAAACAAGCTGAGGGTTCTGGAGAATGCTGTGAGCTTCTGGATAACAGGTGGAGTATTAATCAGTATATATTAACATATATAGTTGGTTCACCTGTGCAAGAGAATACCTAAATATGATTGATTATCTTTGCATTTGCAGAGGAATGAGCAGAAGCCAGGACTTTTGGTGTTGCCATGCGAGATCAGCTTCAAAAGATAGAGCGAGAGAGAGAGAGAAAGACTTTCAAGTTCGAACATTAACTCCATTGAAAGATAGTTCGTTCATCAGGAAATTCAACGTTGCCAGATCCCAGATGAGTGACGCCGGAAGAATTTAAATGTAAACCACAACATGGACTAAAGGAATCTCCATATTCACGAGGCCATTATAGAGATAGACAATCCTCAAGGTACGTATGGTGTCGGTAGCACTGACTAATGACTAAACAATGACAGATTATATAGGCAACCCTATGAAACTAGAAAATTAATTAACTTAATGTGATAGTACATGATTAATTAATTCAGCGAATCAAGCTACTTAACTTAAGTGGCAAATGATCTGCTCCAGAAAGTCATTTGTAATTTGAAAGATCATACGATCGAATGAGCCACATTAGGGATATGAAACGGAATGAATTCCAGAATGAGACGACGTGCGCCTGCATTTACACCTCGATCACCTCTCTGGGAAGAAGCATCATGACTTGAGAATCAGATGCAATAAAATTTCAGCTTGAAATTTTTCATTTGATTTTGGTCAATGGAAAATTGGCATAACAAAATACGACCGACGGCAAAGCAAGGAAAAATCGAGATTGGCAGAATGGATAAAATCTCGGTGCAACTCAAATTAAAAAATTTCTAAATTACTTCTGTACATGCATGCAATACACCAAAATACAGATATTTATTTACGTGCGTCAGATCATAAAGTGCACAAACAATTTAAAGATAGAATTGAAACAAAATGTTTCGTGGGCTTTGTGCCTCCGGTCCACTGGGAAAAAAAAAATCTTGAATAATCCAATATGGTTTACATGTTTCCAAAAATTAATCAAAACGCTTTTGATGAACTAACAAAATTGATTATTTATTTATTTTACATCAAATTAATTGGATTTCCAAATATAAAAGTCAAGCAGTTCAGCTTTTACCAGTTAAAATGTCCTGAAAAGATTATTATGACAAACAAGCTCGAGCTATTTTTCGGGCTTGTTTGAATTCTTTTCTTTTTGGTGATATTTTAACTAGAAATAGTAACAATGCTTGAATTTATGCTTAAATTTTAATTTGATGATTTTTCAAGATTATTTTCATCGTTGCAAGTTGCTTGGTGAGATCACAACTATTTGGCCTAAAATGGCAGTGGGACGTATAGATTGCAAGTGATCAGAGAAAACTGGAGTTGAATTTGCCAGAGGTCTAGACACAGAATTAATTGTGCATCGCACAAAACACCAAGATTTTTTTTTTTTTTTTTTTTGGAAGGACACAAAACACCTTATGGTTCAAGTGCAGCAGAACTGCTTGTCTCGAAAAGCATTCATAGCATAATGGATACACGACTTGAAAAGAGGGGCTTATACTATAAGGTATATATTCAGATCGACCATCAACGTACCAATCTCAAATTTCTTCTAATTGAAAAAAAAAAAAATTTTTGCTTCTAATTGAAGGTCAGTATTCGATTTTTCCAAATTTTTTACCAAGTAGAAGAGAAGAATTGTTTAAAGTAGAGCTGGTTAGTGACAGAACTAATCTGAAACTTGATTACGTCATGAGGAGCATTTGTATGTATCATGACAATAAACACATTTTACTACTTCTGAGTTCTGATCACCATATGTAAAGAGGAAAGTTGTCCATTCCTCAGCTCTCAGCACTTGACATGAAATTTGAACAAGGTACGTAATCACAGTGTGGATTCTGCATTCTGAGCCAGTATTCAAACCTTCCTCAACATTTTTCAACTGAGCCAAGAATGCACGTACAATATATTCAGTATTTGCCGTAAATCAAGCAAAGTGTAATCATTGCATTAAGGAAATCCAATAATTAGAAAGATTAAGACTCAATTCCAGAATTGGACAGGTACCATCACTCCAAAATCTGAATTAGTTAGCTATGCTGCAGTAAAACCAACTACTGAGACATCGTTTTCCCGTTCTCTAGACAAGCAAACCCTTACCTTTTTTTCACCCATTTCCCAGTTGTTTTCAGTCAAAAGCCAAAATCATTGCTCCAGAAGGTACAGGAAGATATGAATTTATATGCCCACAGCTCATTTTGGTACATTTTGGTAATGTAAGTATAATGTAGACAGCAGGTAGAACCCGTTTGTAAGGGAGAGCCCGAGTTTGGTACGGCAGGTAGAACCGGTTGAACCTATATATGTAAGTAGTCTCCTTTACATTACAGATAGTCGTAAGGGTGACAGCAGGTAGAACCATCATGTATTCCACAAGCATGTTAGGAATGTTCTCTATCAGATGCTGGTCCCAGTAACAGGATTGATCCAACCTCGACCTTTTAACTCAGAGAAAACCAGTCGTCCTCGTGATAATGTTGCTCAGTTTTGTTTTAAGATTGACAATAGATGTGCAGGTGTCCGCAAAGGAAAGAGTGTGAGACTTGCTGCGCTGAATATGGCAATGTTTGTGCACAAGATATGCTAGCATAAGCTGACTTCAAAATCCAGTTTAAGAACTCTAGCATGACTGTGATTGCATCGCTTAGATGCCTAAAAAGTAAAAATCCTCGTCTGCCAGATTCTGAATTCTTAACGCCACATTCAAGATGTTGTATGGCCTAGAAGAAATTCACAACCCAACTTCTTTCCACAGATATGTTCCAGTCAAAGTTGGATCCTTGTACCTGACATATCATCCCTTCAAAAGAGTTTTACTACTTTTAAGCCAACCCCCAAAGGCATTTACTTACGAGATAATGATTAATTCCATTCTGCAGGTCATCCCAAGTCAGAATCAGCTTCCAAATTGGCTCCTTCTCCTCCTCTAAGCCACAGCAGTCAGTTCTGTATTTATGCATACCAACGTCTCCAGTCACACCTCTAAGTTCATGCTATATAACTTGTAGGTTTAGGTAGGCAACTCCTTGTTGAATCTGTTACCAAACTGCAAGTTCCTACTGGCAGTGAGACTAACAAAAAATTATTTATGTACTTACAGTATCTATTGAGGGAAGAAGCTATTCGGTCGTGTGATAAATATCAAGTGCAAGAGCTCCTGCACAATTTCATCTGCGCAAGTGACATTGCCTGTGATATGCTCCAACAAGCATACTTTGTGAATTTCATCTTCCAGTAGAACATCCATTACCCAGATAATTCATCTTAATACAGGGCAGCTAACTGCCATTAATGACATTGATTGGTCATTGTTATGATGATTACATATTTCTGTTTTTTCACAATTTGTCGGAATGGATTAGTATTCTGAAACTAGACAGATCCTAAAGGTGTACTTCGTATTACTCAATAACATTTAATCTAGTGAGTTCTCAATTTTCAAAGAAATGAAACATCTAGATAACTTGCAAAGGACAAAAATGGATCTGCTTGATAACATTTTACAATGCTGAACTATGTCCTGTTGTTGCTGATGAATAATAAGTGCATTTAACTCATAACATGCATTTGCCTTTTGTTTTTTAGATATAATTGTGGTATATTTGGCAGTTCGCGTACCTCCCGCTTCGTTGTAAAAGCAAAGGGAACTAAATTTAAAACTATGCCTAGAATTTTTAATCTTAAACCGGGTAAACGCTTCATTTCATTGTTTGACAGTTTTGGCAAAGGGAAGTAGCAAGTTTGAGGCAGCAGCTGCATTACTTGCAAGATACCCACAGGTAAGATTATAGAAGGCAACCTCAAAGGTGGTTTTTACTCCTTGCATGAAATTCATATCCAAGTACATTTATCCATAGAGAGATGTGATAGACAACCAGAACAGGAGGGCACTGAGAGGCTAGAGATATAGGAATACTTGACTGAATTGCAAAATACAGGCAAATTGCTAATACAGCTGTTAAAGAACATAAGGTGTCCAACCCAAGTTGACTTAATTTAATGAGATTGATTGTTTATGAAGTGTAAGTTTATATCCCAATAAACTTTTTTCTCATGCGATCACTTGAAAATTTTCTCGATCTCATAAGTAATGCAAAGTTTACACAAAAAAGCTCTAGGTTTAATCAGTCTGGAATACTTGGCGTTTTTACTTTCTTTGCCTTTCTATCTGTAATATAGTACTCTCTTGACTTCAGACAGAGACCCTAGATGTGTGAGTTATTATTATCACCTTTCTTCTACTGTTATTACACAGGATTGAAATGAAGAACCATGTTTGTTAATTATGACTGTCAATTTTCTGCATTTTTCTTTAAGGAGATATCTGAACCTTAAACCATGGACATAATTGTGGACATGAGCTATGCACTCACTTAGGCTGTTCTATCTAAGTAAACGTGATTCTTTTCAGACAGAAGCAGCATTTCTCTGAAAAAAGGGCTGATAGGTGATAATCTTATGTACTCAATTAGAGATTGCATAAACTGTAGGTCATGATTACATTCTAGATGTCCTAATCTAATGTGAACCAACTTGATGAAAGCTTGCTGATCTTTCCTTGCACGAATTTCTTTAAAGGAATGCTTCTTTAGACAGATAATATATTTCTAGTGAATATCATCTATATTTATCATTTGGGACAGGACAAAATTTTTGGCTGCCAGTCAGGAGAGGCATTAAACATTTTATAAGGTAGGACAAAGAAAATGAAAGGCTGCTTTGATGGCAATTTATTGAGGAAAAAAATCTATTCAAGAAAGTCAAAGTTCTGATTCAGAAATGAAATATCTGACTTCAAAATCAACTTTTTTTCCATAAAGGATCACACCTGCCTGTTATTTATTTCTTTCTTAACTTTTTCAGTTGAGATGCATCACTACAGAGATGATTATTTATGTTCTCAATCTGGAGATAAGAGATATGTAGAGGAAATGGTAGAAAATGTACCATTACGGTTCTTATATGCTTTTTAAAAGGGTATTGAGGCTGTCTAGGTAAGAACAAAACAAATACCTTATGTAGTGTCCATGTAAGAGCAGGAAGCTTCTAGGAGAAGAATTATTTGGGTTGAGCGTCAATGATCTAGTACAGCTCGAGAATCAACTGGAGGTCAGTTTGAAAGGAGTCCGCGTAAAAAAGGTAGATCCTTTCATCTTCTAAGACAATTCTTTGCAATATCCAATAATTCCAGATCAAGTATATCAATGATCCTGGAGAATACCTAATCTACTATCACCCTGACCATAGCTTAATTTCTTCAGGAGCAGGTTCTAACTGATGAAATCAAGCAATTACATCGGAAGGTTGTGAGCAATTAGTGCTATTTTATAGTTTCTTAAGCTAAAACATGTGTTGATAGTACTTTGCTATCTCCATTGCAGGGGAATCATCTTCATGAAGAAAATATTGAGTTGTACAACAAGGTTAACCTCATTCATCAAGAGAACATACAACTGCAGAAGAAGGTAACTTTAGATAAGCCCAAACAAATGAAAGGAAAGAGAGAGCAAGAGAGAATGCTGGCTTTTCATCTGTCCACTGAGAAATATCTCTTAGCCGGCTGACCATAAATGAGTTTTGGATCCAGGTTCAAGAACAAGAGAACATAAATAAATCACACGGGAGCATATGTACAACAAATGTGACCAGCAACATGAATGAGTTACATGTACCAATGAATCTCCAGCTAAGCCAGCCGCATGCACAGAAGAATGAAGCACCGAAAAATCCCATGAAGCTTGGGTAATTTTTTCCTCACAAGATTTATGTGCTATTAAGGTGATTTTCCTATATCCATTTAAATTATTTTTAATAATACATGTGACCTATAACAGGCTGGAGCTGTACTAGGGAGCAAAGAGTGATGAAGACTATCACTCCTAGTGACTGACATTTGTGATGAATGATGAATTACATTACGCATGATAGCCCTGAGTTTCAGGTTTCATTCCAATCTGTGGGACAGACTTCAAGTTGTTGTAAATCTAGTTACAGTGCAAAACACATGGATTTTAAGTAAGCATTGAAATAAGATCTTGAAGGATGTCCGAGGTTTGCTGTAACTAAACATTTTGATTATTAATGCTTGTAAGTTGTGGTACCTGCGGTAGGTCATGTAAGTGATTTTTTTTTTCTTGGTTGGTATTGTCAAGAGTAAAAGTTGTACCAAACTCAAAATTAACAGCGTTGTGAAATGTTTCTGTGGCTATGATTAATCCTGTAAATGCTAGACCTGGAGACAGTTTTACAGGGTGACAATGAGTTTCTGTACTTTAGAAACCCCGTGTTACGATTCCAGCTTCGGATCTATTTCATTTGCAGGAAGGATTGAACAAAAAAATTAACTTCACCGAAAATGATGAATGGCAAAGATGTCTCTAGACAAGCTTCCAGTCTCAATGCTCTTGTACAGCTAACATGGATTTGCACAGTCACCAAGTTTGAGGTCGCTCACAAGAATAACCAAAAAGAAGGCATTTATGAAACTAGAGGAACACAATATCTTTTTTGACAGGTGATACCAAAGCACCAGGAGATTCTACTAGAAAGGCATTCTGCAAGCTGCCTAAATGATCTGTTTCACAGTAAAAGAAGTATTCAGTGACTTCATCAGGTCCTGCAATTGAAAACAACATGTCTAGCAAGAAATTACAATTGCCTCGCACCTCCAAAGCTCAAGAAAAGGGTTCTGGAGTCAAGGCTACCTTTTCTAAATCAACACTAGACTCGTTATTGTGAACAAGCAAGATACCATCTAGATGGCTCAAAGTTATACATGAGGACTTACCAAAACTTGCAAATTCCATCAAATTCATCCCTTGCATGTTCACACAAAAAGAAAATGTGAAAAGGACAAAAAAAAAAAAGACAAAGCCCCGTTCACCCGTTGCAGTAGTGACGGTAAGTCAAGAAGGTTAAGAAACAGCTACCCCTTTCCATATGTTGATAGACTAAGTGTTTCATCGTAGGAGGCTTCAACAGTGACTTGGGGCACAATCAAACAACATGCACGTGTAGACTCAATGAGCCAACCATTGTAACATCCTAATCAATCATCAATGTAGTGTGAGACGAATGATTGGTCCAATTTATGTACAATATTCACTTCATTTCCATACTCTACTCTTGCACATTTTAAGAAGGTGCCCATATTTATATATTGGAATCAACGTTTTTAGCAAAAGTAAAAACGGAAGCATTATTAGTTTGGCTCCTTGTATATTCAAACACATTTAATGGGTGTAGTCTCTAATAGAGGGACATACATATTGGGTGTATTCGGATATATAGCAGGTTTTTCCAAATAATATTTCGCTTGCATCAGAAACATATTTTTCAATTTATCTTTTTATATTTTCAATCACCTTTTTATCTCACATACATCACATCACAAAAAGTACTATAGTAATTATTCCAAATAATATTTCAAATAATACTCTATCCAAACAAAGCTAGAACTTGACATTAATAATTCAATCAATCAATTTAACTGCAACTAAGATATAGAGTTTTTTAAGCTTTTAAAAGCTGGCATGATAAGGTAAGAGCTAATTTAGAGTGTTTTTTTTAAGGTTTTTTCAATTTTTCTTTCGAACTCCCCCCCCCCCCCCCCCCCCCAAAACACCCCAACAAACCCAAAAAAAAAAAAAAAAAAGAAAAACCCCGGCCGATCTTTATAGTTTATACAATTGGTGGCCCAATAGGGAGCGTCTAATTCGCAAAGTACTCCCCAGGAATCATGGCCTATTACATCTGCTGTTGGGAAAATTCAGTAAACACAGGAAATGGGCACTTAACCACATATATCAAGAAAACACATTAAAGAGAGCAGAATCCACCTGCAACTGCCCATATACATGAGCAGCTTGATCAATATCTGGGAATAGAGACGCTGAATTTTCCAACAGGCTTGCCAATCAATTTATCTTTATGAGGTCCATCTTCTGAAATATTTTTTGAAATCATCTTTTGTTTTTCTTTTAATTTCTTTTACAAAATGAGTGGTTTAATTAGAAGTTACTGATGTTAATTTGTTACTTTTACAAGACCGTGGAGCTAGTTCAAGAATTTTGTCACATAAACGGAATGCCAAGGAAAAGTATAATTGAATGAAAAGAAGAATCTTCTGCTCTCGCTCTGTGATTCTCTCTTTGCTTTCCGGGAAGTATTATCTCAATTTAATAAAGTGAGATTTAGAAACATTAAAAAAAAAAAAAGAAGAAGAAAACTTTGAAGTCATCATGTTTCTGTTGATTGAAAAAGGAAAACCATTCCCCTCCATTCATCAATACTCCCCAGTTCTTGTCTTAAGTCTTAACGCAGGAGGGGCGCAACTGGCAAAGCCATTAGCGAACGAACTTGAGACCTTAAACTTAAGACTAGAGGGCTAAGGATCCTAACGCTATTTTCATTATTCAGTTCATGTTTGGAAAGCAAAGACAAAGGAGTAAAAGAAAAACAGAGGGAGAATATCAGTTCACGGTTCTATCTCTATTCCCTTTTTTATTGGGGGGGAAACAAAAAGCCACTAAATTTTCCTTTGAAATGTAGAAATAATTTTGGTCATGTCATATATAGATTTTGGGTGGAGAATATGTTTATAAGTTTCTACTTGGCCACGAGGTATCTTTCATTACTAAAATAGAGTGTTTTGATTGTATCGCACCGCTACGTATCATTTGATAGTTCCCAAATCTCCTATCTTTGGTTCAACTTTAAATGAAATGGAGGAAAATCCAAAGATATTTACAGATTGATAGTCCTGGCTTGTCGACACATTGTGCTTGGGAAGCGACACATGTGGTACACAGCTTAATTGCCAACACAATTGCAGGAACCTTTTAGGGGAGGAATTATCCAGGTTGGGCATTGAAGATCTGCAAAATCTACAAAATCATCTGCAAGTGAGTTTGAAATCATGCGTCAGCACTAGAAAGGTAAATATTCTTTCTACCTCACAGAACTCTAGTTTGCAATAAATAGATTTTCTAAGCCAAACATATAAATGGTTTTGAACATAATCCTTTTCCTTTTAGAGTCTTTATGAACATAAAGTTATTTGTTTCAGGAGGAGATACTAACTGATGAGATCAAAGAATTACACCAGAAGGTCTCCTTGGAAACAAATCTCTTTTTCATGCGGTAGCTATACTGAAATTTAAACTGATGTTGTAATTTTAAAGACTTTATTGCAGGGAGACCTTCTTTATCAAGAAAATGTTGAATTGTACAAGAATATTAACCTCATTCATCAAGAAAATACAGAATTGCAGAAGAAGGTTAGAACTCTAAAGATGATGAGAGATAACAACATTACCTTCCTTTTCTGTTTATCCAAAAAAAAAAAAAAAGGTTCATCATCTGTTAAATAAAAGTGGAGTTTTTTATCCAGATTCATAGACAAGGATGCACAAATGAAGCAGACAGGGGCACCAACACTACACATGAGGTTAGCAATAGCAACATGAATGATTTACATGCACCAGTTGATCTCCGGCTAAGCCAACCTCATACACAGAGGAATGGTCCACCGGCCGATCTAATAACACTTGGGTAAGTATCACTCAAAAACGTACAATGTATATTCAGATGATTTTTTGTTGTGATTAGCTAATTAATGAAATTGTTTGTACTAATCTAACATGTAAACTAGAACAGGCTGAAGCTGAATTAAAGAGCAGGGTTAGAGTTGTGAGGCGTATCGGTCCATCCTTCATCAACAATCTGCCCCATCATAAAAAGCAAGCTTTAACAGCGATACTTGTGATAGAATAATTTATAAGAAATATAGTTATCAGTTTGAGATTTTCATTACACTCTATGAAACAGCTTTAGAATTAATCTCCCAAGGAAAGCAAATATGCATGCAAAGTAATAATTTGAATAAGATCTTGAAAGCAAAGAATCTGTAAGTTTTGCTGCTTCTGAACTTCTAATGAGTATGATGCTTAGCATCTTGGTATTTAAGCTTGCTTGACTATGAATAGGGGGATATTTATCCATCCGGAAGACTGCGTGTTATCTAACTCCAGAATAACAAACAAGCTCAACAAAGCCTGTTCATGGCTATGATTGACCATGTTCTGTCTCAACTGATGCAATTTTACAGGGTCACCAGCACTCCTTGTACTTGATAGCCCACATATTTTTAGTCCAATTCGTCCAACTTCCAAGCTCAAGTTTCGTGAACTACCAAAGCCTGCTTATTCAAGTGACTGAACAACGAGAGAATATGTCAAATATACAACTATGAAATAAGAATATATATCCCATAAACAATCAATATCGACATATGACCAATGAAGCACAAGGAGAATGATTTAGCAAGTGATAAATTGCTAGGTGCCTGACCGTATTTCTCCATCTTCCTGGATATCAGTCAAATTTGTTAAGGAGGTCCAAGTCCGACAGCAGATATTCATATAGAGCAAGTCATTATAAAAAGTGCCTCAGCAGAATGACACCACGAAATTTGTTCCGTCTGTGATATTATTGATATTAAACCTTCCATGGATGTAATATTCTTTAAGAGCAAAGACTACCTTTTCCAGAACGCATTTGCTGCCAAATCATTTAATAAACACTTGTATGATCTTTCTAACCAAATTAAAATCCGCATTAGAGATTGAATGTGAAGGCTCTAACTTAGTAAACTGCTAGGACTATCTCAAAACTTGAAAATTTCAACACATGCAACTCTGCATGGTAGTTGCGTAGAATCAAATAAGTTGGTGAAATCACTTCCAATTCCATATGGATTATTTAGCCAGAAGGGAGATTCCCATCTGTTACGCAGCAGAATATCAATTGGCCCGGCAATCTTCTGACACCCAAATGCAGATTGTAGACCACCAAACAAATCATTTTTCTCAATATATGGTAAAAAAAATAAAAAATGGTTGTAACCAATGGTTGTAACAGGAAAGTTGAAAACTAATCCCAGAATAAACAAAGTGCATTAACGAAGAGATGAATAGTAGTAGTTCATACTTCAGATTCAGACTCTAATCCGCAGATAGCCAATTCTTTTCGGACCATTCTTCGAGCAATTATGAAGATATTGACACTTCGATCATTCATAAAAATTCGATTTTTGATGTTAATATGGAGGAGTAAGAAAACGGATCATATAGCAAGTACAAATGTGGCTGGCAGTTACACGTGGAATAGTCCATCGATAAGCATGCCACATAAGTCCTAATGTTACGGCAAATTGG